GGTGTGCCATGCGGCTGGCGCAAGTTCTAGTAAATGGCGTAGGTATCAATGTGCATGTTTGGATAAGCGTCCACATGGTGTTTAACATCCGTGGATATATATTTTTAAGATTGTGGGACATAACTGTGCACACGCGTCCTGATGGTGATTTGGAAAATTTGGCAATAGAAAAGTGCACTGCCAGGGATCTAAAAATAACACTTCTACATAGTGCGTCCCATGGTGTTTTAGACCTAGTTGCATTGACTTGTTTGACTTCCTGAATGCGCGGCGTCCCATGCAGTTTTTACCTTGGTTCCACATATGCACTGACTTTCACGTCCCAGTGTACCTAGCGCATCAAGAACCCACAAATTTGTAGGTTTTTTTCCAAAAACCCGATTTTTTCTTCAGTTATGAAAAAAAACGGTTTTTCTCAGAAAATATGTTTTTTTCTTTACTAGGGAAAAAACATACTTTTTCTCACACTTGGTGTCATGACATCTCATGATTCCTTCCCCTAGACGATTCAAACTCCTCTATTGATATCAGCCTTGGATCTATCCCTCTCCGTAACCTTCATGTTGATTATACTTCCACCCCGCTGGCTTTGGCTGGCAGTTCTCACAAGAAAGGGCCCGATGCTCTTGGAACATGTCGGACAACATTAGGTGTGATCACAGTCAATCTGGATTCGTTGGATGATTTTTTCCCAAGAACAACCCTAGAAGCATAAATTGACACATGGCTGTATTTTTTTCATTGGGAAAAAATGATTCTGGATTGCCAAAGTCCAACAAACAACCCAAGAAAAATATCGAAAGAAATAACAAAATCATGAAAAATCAATCGGCATTTTCAGTTTTTAATCATTTCGGATTGCAATTTTTGGGTCTGTACCCAAAAAATGCCAAAAACCCATATTTAAGCCGTACTAAACCGTACTAAACCCATATTTAACCCGTACTAAACCCATATTCTGATATAGTAAAGAAAAAACGTTTTTTGGAACCCATATTTAAACCATATTAAACCCATATTTAACCCATACTAACCCGTACTCAAAATATGGGTTTTTTGCTTTTGCGAATTGACGGCGCGATGTCGAGTTTTAAGGCTCCGCTTGTGGTTTTTCAAGATCGAACCGGTAGTTGCCGGTCTAGACAAAAAGAAAACAACGCAGATTACCGGAGCTATTGTCAATTTACTGGGTTTATATCTGGAAAGCTGACTTTTGAAATGCCATGCATATCCATTGTGACTCTTTGACTACCTCCAGTCCTGCTGAAGGGAAAGTTCGCAGCATAGGAGGCAACTGCAGCCGGTGGAGAATGCGCGCATCGTGTCTGATCACGCTTGCTTCGGTTTCCATCGCGCGGTCTGTCTGACAGATTTCACAAGTTGTCAGTATGAAATTGCTACATGTAATGAGGAGAAATTTGATACAGGTCCACCCGATTTGGACAAATTTGTGCAAATCCAACAAAAACCAAAACATGGGTTATTTACAAAAACCCGGTTTTTCTCGAAAAAAAACTAGTTGTTTTTTTCACTGGACCTACAATTTTTTGGGTCTTTGAAGCTCCTGGTATATATATAATATATATCATTACTTTTATATATGCCAGAACCCATGTGACAATGTGTGTTAGGATACATGTCAGAGTTTATGTCAGACGGTATGTCATGATATACATCAGAGTGTTTGCCATGATATATCTCAGAATGTATGTCATGATATCTGTCAGAGTGTATGTCAGGGTTTATGCCAGAGTATTTGTCAGGATATTTGTCAGAGTGTATATCAGATGTATACACCTCGTATCGGTCAGAAGATATCTCAGAATGCCTGTCTGAAAGAAGAGAACATATGTAGGTATATCTGTCTGTAAACTCAAAAAACACGTATTGTTTCGCACATATCACACATCATACATGTCAGGATACTGGCGCGGCAGGATTTTGGCCAGAATGTCTTTGCCACTGTGGGGATCACACAAAGCAATGTGTTTCTTTACTTAGGGTGGCACAACGATGTATGGCAGTGCAATTCGCATAGTTTTGGTATGTTTTGGTGGTTTCGAAGTCGGAGCCTATTGGTTGGACCCAAGTTTGGGGCCAATCATTTCGCAGGTGCAAGCAGCGCACTTCAAGTCCTACGGTGAGGACGGCACGGAAGGCCTAGAGAGACAGCGGGTAGAAGAAGATGTTTGTTTCCGGCAAGTTTCATGGAGGCCCAGTTTAGACTGTTTATACGACTTTTCACCACTAACCATGGGCCAGCCGGCCAGCCTATCTACTTACATGTTCACTTGCAGTTGCATGCATGTCATCTGCCCTTGGAGCTGCGATTGTTGTCACGAGAACCACAACCACGGAACAACCCGGAAGCATGAACCTGCCAACTTAATTGGTTGTTGGCTTATGATTTACTTTTCCTTGTGAACTTGAACGTCCGCTGCAAAATAGATGTTCTGCCGAGAACCGGCTTCTTTCGGCATGGTGCTAGATTCGGGCTTGTGAATTTTTGCTTCATGTCATGCTGCATGGTTTGAATTCACTTCGCGCCAAAGAAACCCAACGCGCTTCACAAATTTGCCGCTTCAAGTTGCAAAAGGTAAAAAGCCGACGTTGTAAATGTGAAATAGGTTGTTGCACAAAGCAAACATAGACGTTGCAAGTGCACAGTTTGACGTCTCTGAAAACACGTCGCGCATGTCGCAAAATTTTGGCAACCGGTTTGCATTCACAATTTTAAAAGCCGAAGCTGAAAGTGTCAACATTCTTCTGGCAGTTCGAACAGCTCCTTGGTTCGAAACATCAACTTCTGAACAAATGGTTTTCGAACATTATATGCTTATTTTGAATTGACTATTTGAAGTCGAAGGCAGGGGTGATTCTGATTCCGCAAGGATTGGCAAGACAACCTTGGATGTTTTTGAGCAAGAACGGCGGTGCCTGCACATAGGGACCATTAGGAAATCATCTAGGTAAGTTAGGAACTGGTGGGTGAAGGTTGGGGCCTGTATTGGTACATGCGACAGCTCCTCAGTGATTAACTGCTACCTGAAGGGTTCCCCGCAAAGTTATGCAGAACTAAGTTAAGGGTTTACAAAATCCAGGGTTGAATTTTTTGCAAATTCCATACCAAACAATAGGAAAAATGGACACCTTCACCAAGTCCCTGTAGCGGGCGCAGAAAGGTTTGCAACATCCCCGTAACATCGAAGGCCCAGGGCTCCGGTTTTAGGTATTGGTTTCCGAATTTCAAACACCAACATGGATGTTGGAGAGTAGGTTTACTATGGTTTAATACATCCTGACTTGTTTCACCTTCATGTTTTCCAGGTCCAGCATCAACTTCAGTTGTGGTTGTTGGATATTGGATGATATTGGTATGTCCCAATATCCGTGGGGCGTTTGGGACCGCAACCATTGCCCACGATTGAATTTTGCAACCGCGGTGGTTGGCTGTTGTTTTTGCATGGGGTGTGGTGGAGTGCGGAGGGCTAATAACGTTCTTTCCCCTGCGTGTCAGAACACTCTTGATGTTACTCTGTTGACGTTTTCACGTAACTTTTGAAACGCTTTTGATGCTACGCTCTTGGTTTTGCCAAGTAATTTTTCAAACGCTTTTGATGCTACGTTCTTGTTTTTTAAAGGAACTTTTGACACGCTCTTGATGCTACGCTCTTGGATTTTTCAATCAATTTTTGAGACGCTCTTGATGCTACGATCTTGATTTTTTCACGTAACTCTTGACAGGTTCTTGATGCTACACTCTTGACTTTTTCACGCGCTCTCATATCTCTAACCTGTTTGTGGTTACAGGAAACGAACTGAAGTGGCTGAGGTGAAGAAGGAAACATAATTTTGTGCGAGCGCAAACGTCAGATATAAAAAAAAAGGCAATTATACCCCCAGAACTCACGACAAACAAAATTCAAATCACACTGTAATTACATGCCTTTGGTCCTCTTCAAGGTATCAAAAGCACTGTAAATACCACGTTTCACAAAGTTGATGAATTTGTAAAATCGCAACTACTAATTACACGTTCAGTTCCCGACGCGGCGGGTTTTTTATCTGCTTGGATTTTGTATCACGCCATTCGCATGCCCAAGTTACGGCAACACACCGCAATTTGAACGAGAACTCTCACAACGTCGTATAGCTGGTAATTCAGGCACCTCTAAAGTACTCGAGTGGGGCACCCATGCGGTTTGCACATATCATCGTGAAACCCAACACCCTAAAACCTCAAACCTTAAAATCCTAAGAACAACGGAAGAAGTAAGGGACAACCCTAGAGCCGAAACATTGCTTGAACCCCAAATCCTTAATTCTTAAACACTAAAACGTTATGAACCTAATGGGGATGTTATGCGAAACGATGTGTTTGGGCATAGAAATATCAGATACGATGGTTTTGATTGAAAATGAAAACCCCAAAGTGCGATAGCTAATGGATTGCCTGATCAGTTTCCACAGAAAACATGCCTTCTTGGATACCCCTTGTTGTTATTTTTTTGTGGACATATATGATCAGGCTGTACTCTACAAATTAGGTTCGTTGCCAAAAAATGTCCCAATTTAGCCCTCGAAAGCGTCACTTGTGTTTTGTTATAGTTGGCTTGTGTGAAGGTTCCATTTTTTTGTGATTTATTCAGATCCATTCTGTAAGGTGTTGCCAACTTTTCTTAATTTACCACCAAATCATCCAAAACTCGACGATTTCGAATGATTTTGCTATTGAAACCCACGGGTTTAGGGTGCGAACACCCATTTGTGGTATCCACATTCAAGGTGTGGAATGGATCCCTTGCCCAGTAGTTTCAGCCGCGTCGACAGCTCAGTTGGACATTGGCGCACAGTGCACCATGATTCATGATGGGCTAAGAAAAACGCCATATAGATAGACAGAACTATGTAGGCCAAGATTTTCCAGCACCATGGATGATATGAGATATTGATTTAAGACGGTTTTAGATATGGTCAATCAATGTCAGCCGCTCGCTGAAATGCCGCTGCCAAGGTTCCCTTTCGACGATACGACCTGCATCGCAGTTCGATCCCTTCCTTTCGCCATCGGAAGGCAGCCGACTTGTGCGCAACTGGCTATGATGGTGGGCAACCAAAAGCAGATCTTCGGATATAATAAGTATTTAATTAAATGTATTGAATGCGATATCTAATGGGATATTTACTGTAATTTAAAAATCCGATTAGATATCATTAAATACACTAAACAGTTTATTTAATTTTACTTATGGGATATATAATATATATATATATAACCAACAATATTTTTGTTCTTTTGAAGATCGACACCGGCGGTTTTCGAAACGGAATAAGCACTATGGACAACTTCTGCTGTTTTACTCATCCCCCGCAACGACTCGTATCGTGGATGCTGCTCCCATGTTGTAGTCTAACGATTAACGTCTTCTCAAGCCAGAATCTAGGTCTGATCATGATTGATCACTTGGAATTATGTACATCCAGATGCACATTCACTGTGCAAATACCACCCCAAGCAACGCTCAGGAAACTTTAAGCCTTAGGCACACCCAAAGCAAACTTCAACCCCTAAACCCTAAACAAACACCGGTGAATTTCAAACATAAGCCAAACAAACCTTCATCCACCCCTCCTAAACAAACCCTCAGCACATCAGCAAATCTTGACCATACCCTAAATAGCAAACCCCCAACCAAACCCGTAAGAAAACGCAGGGCTCCAGGAGCTCGTCCGAAGCTTAGCCATCTCAAAGCGGTGTGAAAAAACCCACAAATAGATACAGTACGCAGTAAAATAGAATTGGCTGGCAGGTTGGTGGTTTCAAACATGTTCTTATTTTCCATAATATATGGTATATATAATCCTTCCCATTGACTAATATTTTCAAGATGGTTAAAACCACCAACCAGTTCGTCACTCTTTTGAAATCGATTATAGCCTGTCCTATCCTGATAAACATAGATGATAAACATCCGCATAAGCATAGATGTCTTTTTTGTAGGGTAGCATCGTGGAATAGATTTTGTTCAGCTTTAAATATTGTCTTTATACGGTATGATATTTATATTTATATTTGACAAATAGATTATATACCAAATATCAAATATATATGGGTACAAGTCAAAATGCAAGGTACGGATCAAGGCCCCGGGCCCTCACACGATCCATACCCCCCGATCCATCCATACCTAGATCCATACCCTATCATACTGCATGATCCATACCCCTGGTCCATACCCCTTTCTCGTTGAAGAAAGACTGATGCTGGCCCTAATGCCGCTTTTTATCCTAATACTGCTTCTAGCCCTCGTACTGCTACTCCCATTGCTGCTACTGTTGCCACTACCGGTGCCACTGCTGCGGAGCTGCTGCTTCTGCTGCTGCTGCTGCCACTACTAGTCATCTTCCTCCCAGGAGCTGCTGCTACTGCTGTCGCTTCTGCTGCTGCTCCTGCTGTTCCTGCCCGCGCTGCTGGTGCTGGTTCACTTCCTCCGTGTGCTTCTGGTAGTTGGAGAAATGCAACTAGCTGACTAGCTACTAGCAATATTGCAAGTACCATGGAGGCTAGTAAGACCGGTTCTAGTTCCACTAGGTGCTTCTTGTATTTCTAGTGGCCCTATGATTACAACTCCTTCTGTTGCTACTCTGCCTGCCATGTGTAGAACTAGACTAGACATAGAAATACCCCCCTCTCTTCCTTCACAACCACAGCGTGAAAGCCGGCCCAGATAGCGTGTCCCGATCCATACCCGATCCATACCCGAACCCAGTCACGCCACAACAAATGCCAACATGAAAGCCCGATTCTATTACTGCTTCTACTGCTGCTGCTGCTGCTACTTCTACTTCTACTTCTACTTCTACTACTGCTACTACTACTACTACAACTACTACTACTACTACTACTAACTACTAACTACTAACTACTAACTACTAACTACTAACTACTACTACTACTACTACCATCACCACGGCTGCTGCTGCTGCTATTCCTACTCCTACTACTACTCCTATTACTCCTAGTACTACAGCTGCTGCTGCTGCTACTACCATTAGACTACCATTATTATGACTATTACTAATACTACTGCTACTGCTATTTCTACTGCTACTGCGTCTTCTCCTTCTATTGCCACTACTGCTGCTGGTGCTGGTTTTTTAAACTGCTCCCTCTACTAGCAGTGGTAACAGTTTTAGCAGCAACAGTAGCAGGAGGAGAGGTAACAGCAAGTAGGAGTATCAGCACAGTTTGTATGCTATGAAGGGCCCTTACGAAAGGGTACGGATCAGGCACCTTGCGTAAGCACTCCCGATCCATAGTACGGATCACCGTGGAGCGATCCATACCCGATTTTTGACTCGCACCCATATATATATATATACTGTATCTGTTACATATCCTGTAAAATATTTGCTTAAGAAAAATTGTTCTAGGGTCTAAAACCTAGGTCTTGTTCAAAAATATATCGCAATCCTAAGATTTTTGTCCAGTGTTCCACCAAGAAAACATCCAACATCCCGCCCAGTTTTTCAGGTTTCGTCTCTTTGACCCCCAGACGATGCGAGCCGGCCCTGCCACTCCGTGCCTTGGCCGAATGTCCCGGACAGTCAAAATCATTGATGCCCCAAAATCGCATTGTTTGAAGGCTCAAAAATCGCATGAATTCACTAATTCTGCAGGCCATTTGATACCCCATGTCCCCATGTTTAAGTTTTTGCGCCATGCTTAGCCTTATCAATCAGAGGATTTGACATGGTTTTCCGGCATACTGTAAATTTCCACTGGATATACTACTCGGACCGCGGACCCTACATGAATGATTTTGTTACAGGACACCCCAAAGATCGAAACAACAGTTTCCTGTTTCCTGCGTTGCGCTTGCGACGTTTTACAAGTCGGGTCGACCTAGGAGCATCCGAGATCCGACAGAAAAACCAGGTTTTTCGAAGATTTTGGGGCGCAGGTAATGGTGCCCATCTTCAATAATGGGTTAATGGGTTAATAATGGTTGGTAGGTACATCATATTTTCCATCCTGTATTTTCCTGTGTTCCTGTTCAAGAGCTATAGGTTGTCTTTTTGATGGTTTCCCATCTGAAAAAATGTCCGTGCTGTCAATACACATGAGATAATCCTGTTTGGAAAACGGAGGATCACCGGGGGTGTTCAAGCACCATGAACATGGTTGGACGTTGTACCATACTAGCACCGGTATTCATTATCAGACCATACCATTCAAAAAACACTAAAGTGGGGACCTCTTGACACTGTATGTTGGTGTTGCACAAGAATCATGGTGCAATCTTGTTCCTCATTTGAGCTAGTAGAATTAGCCTGGTTGATTGGTTCATATAGTGGCTTATACTTATACTACCTAATTCACTGATTTTTAGGGGTTTTATTGCCCTTTGTTGTTTTTTACTTGCTCATTTGTCATTATTGTTTTCATTATTGCTATTATTGTTGCAACAATACTGCTCAATCAAGGATATATTATATTGTTATAACATGTTATAAGCCTGATTTGTTTTTTTATAACAATATATGTTGCCCCAACTTGAATGATGGAAATCTTGTTTTGATAATATAATATAATATATATGTATATATAAATGAACAATATTTTTTTGATGGATGTGTTTGACAATAGGCTACAAAACACCTGTTTTGTCTCAACTCAAAAAACCCCATGAGGGGATCAGCAATCTTGACACATCCACATGTATTGTTGATTATACACATACACATTTATATACTATAATGTGGTTAAAGCAACAGACATAATGATAATATACTATAATGTGGTTAAAACAATAACAATAATGTGGTTAAAATGTGGTTAAAACAATCATAAACATCTTGATTGTACACTAGAATGTGGTGGTTAAAACAATAACAAACCATCCCCCAGTCATCGCCAAATAAAGGTATAAACCAGCAAAAATGTGGGGGTTTATTAATTATTGTTTTACCAACATTACCCGTCTATAATTCCCATTCATGTCCGATAGATGCCCCACTCATATCCGATGAATGTTCCATATTCATTGTCCGAAAAACAGGCCCATTCATATATCCGATTCATGTCCCACTAACATCCGTCACTCATATCCCATTAATATCTCATAGCCCCTCTGAAACTGCCTATATATTAAGATTGGGTAAACCATCCTTGATGGCTCCGAACTCACCTTGATCGGAGTGTTTCAGTCCTCTTTGATTTACCCTCTGGTAAACTAACGTAGCTATAGAAGATCACCATTATTAATGGGTAAATCCACTATAAATGGCAATTTTCAATAGCTATGTTAAACGACCGGAGGGTATCTCAAAAGGATCATTCATTGGTGAGCACCGTCTGCTGGCTAGAAACATCCAGTGGATATCAGTGGATTGTACTATCCCCATGAGCTGTATGAAAATTAAGAATCTTTAAAAAAAAATGGCAAGTTGAGATGGAAAATGGTGATTCGCCAGATGGAACGGGGTGCCATGGGATCAAAGGTGGACTTTTCAAAAAACTTTTCCTTCCTGTCCAAAAATCATAGAATTGGATGATGGGAAAATTTTAACCGGAAACCATAGGAAACCCCTATATTTCATGGCAAAAACCCATGGGTTTCCGGTTTCGATTTTCCCGACGAAACCAATCGACTTCCATGGCCCGCCAGAGGCCCATCGTGACGGTCTACGAGCGAGTCGAGCCGGGCCGCGTGGAGATGATTGCCAAGGGAGAGCCCTGCCCCAGGACGAGGGTTCTCGGGGTTTCCATGGGGAATTCGGGGTACCCCCATGACCTAGGAAACCCCAATTAATAACGGGCATATTTTGAGAGAAAGTCTCCCTTTTGAACGGTAACATTGCGGAACATCAGGTCAATCATGGAACTAAGGTCACTCAAAGGGCGAAAATATCCGTGTCGCATAGTGCTATCAATGACCGGAGGGTAGACGAATCAGTTTCTTTTTTTGAATGAATGAAAATTGGGAAGTAACCAAGAATACATTCGGATGTATAGGAACTTTTTTTGGAAGTTGCCCATGGAAGTTGGGATTTCACCTTCAGAAACATTGGGCGGAACAATCCCGAGAACCAGTGGGAGCAAAACGTGAAGCACCGGTCATGGGGATGTCACCTGTAACACATCCGAACAAGGGACCTCAATGTCCCAAAACAACTGGTACACAGACTTTTGTGGCAGGAAATGGTAAGTATTAAGAAACATACACCACCCTCCTGAAATATTTTTAGATCTTGAAGCTCTTTCAAGGCAAAACAGGCAGTGAGTGTGGAGGAAAATATGAAAACTACTCCCGGCATTCATTGTGTGTTCGCTCGCAATATGAACAACACCAGAAATGAACAAGTCCGTTCTGAATCTGTCAGGTAATTCCCTGCACAATTCCAGCCATTTCTGGCGCAACGGGGTACTGTGAATTTCAACAATCTAGCTACCAATCCAGGAATATTGAGTATAACAAAGATGCAAATCAAGTTAGTGCAAGTTGCGCTACTTGTTAGCTCCCCGTCAAGTCAAGGGTTCTCCACATCACGTGTTCTCTACCCCAAAGCTCATTCAGCGTCAATGTATGCCACAAATGCTCAAATGCCGTTTTAGTAGTAGTGATTAACAAAAAGACACAAATCGGGACAAGGCTTCATTTGTGCACTCATTTTGGCATATTTGGAGTGCATTAGATATATGTGTTGAGTTTTTCTCGGTGTTTCTAAGCCGTTGACGTTTCCGATTTGGCTGATGGAACTCGCAAAGCCTGGAACCACCTTTAAAGGGTTATACCTCGGAGCAACTCGCTCTGTTATTGCGCTAGGTTCTTCTGTTTTAGCTTTATCCGTGTATATATATATATATGATATATGTATGATATATGTATATACATATATATATGATGTGGTTCATGATTGGTCCTAAATTGTTTTTGTCCTGATTATAATACTGGCCGTAAATTGTTTGATTGTTTCTTTATAAAAAATGCGGTCCTCGCTACAGTTTCAGCATTTCAGCTTGTCCATGACATCGCGAGGACCTTGGGGGCCAAGTTGCACATTCCACTCGGGACGCCGATGGCAACTGGGAGTCCTTGACCTCAGCGATTTCGGGGGAGCCCTTCGGGAAACTCCAGCGATGCCGCGAGTTTCATGCTGAATTGTGGCTGGATGATGATGAAACTGAATTTTATTTGGATATTATCATTCATTGGATTGAAAAATTGGTTTATTGAACACTGGAAAACTGGTTTCACCTTTTTTTCCCATTTGGGATGATGATCCCCAGTGACAAGCAGAAAAGCAAAGTGGTAGATGCCATGGATGGCATCCTTGGGATGGGTCAAAGCCAGATGGTGCCCCAGTTCGGAATCGCTAAGTTGGTGAACAGAACTCCAATTTCACTATGGTTTATGGTAAATATATTGACATACTTATGAACTGGTTTATAAACCAAGGTTCACATAACTGGGGGGCACCACCTAAAAATATGAAAAGGTCAATTTTTATATAATTTTTATTTGCCTTATTTGGCAGGGCATCCATGCACACCAGCTATATCCTGGGTTCAGCAATGGGATCCAGTGGAGGGTCAGGGATCCACTGGATGTTCAGAGAAAACGGCCATATATTGCTGTGCATCTACATACGCATAATATAAATATGTATATATATATATATGTATATTATATATATATATGTATTATTATAATATATATATACGTATTTATGTACATTACATATATATATACCTGAACAGCTGAGGACATCTTAGCATATCTGAAGGCATTTTGTGTCGAAGAAGGGTGAAAAAGCCCCCTGTCTTTTGAGGGTTATGAGCCCAAGAGCTTAACCCACTGGCATTCGCGGTGATAGGACATGGAAAGGTCCCGATCTGTGCCTGTTCAAGGGACTTCTGGTGTTGCGTTGAATCCTTTCCATTCCCAACGAGTTCAAGATGGATACTTGCTAGATGCTGCTAGGCCAATGGACCTTCCTATGAGCCCTGATGATAGCCTTCTAGCAGAGCCCCTTCGCAATCTAGGTGCAACTGAACCACTTGGCCAGGTGTCGCAAGGACCAACTGGGAAGGGTCGAGTTAGCATGTCTGCAGGAATGATGGACACTGAGCTGCCTGGATCTACACGAGGTCTGGAGGACAGGAGAACCGAGGGAAAGTTGCCTGAGGATGGTGCTGGGGTGAAAACTATGGGGCCGGTGAATGGGCCTACTGGGAGACTTGAGCCACAAAGGGATTCAGAAGAACTTCAACGTGCACTTGAAGGTGAACTTGTGGAGTTCCTCAGGAATCAGAATTCGATACTCATGAATGAGTTAGCAACTCTCAGGGACATGGTTGAGAAGGGGAAGGTCGGTCAGACCAATTCTGGAATGGAGTCTTCGCCATGGTCAGCTGTTGATGGGGTTGGTTCTACAGATAGCTCAGTGGGTGCTGGTGTAGGCCATACTCAAAATGGACGGCTTGGGAGAAATGGTAGCAGGACCCCCAGAACCTCCAAACACCGTGAAGTAGCAGCCAGTCCTGAGAGGAAAAAGGAACCGCAAAGGTTCACGCCGAACGGACCTCGAGTGCCTGATGGGCCGCCTCCTGCAGCAGCTCCGGTATGGCCCCCTGTTCCACCAATTCCAATGGTTGATGATGCTCAACATGTTGGTGACATAGAACTTTATGACACATGTGATTCGAAACCACGTGCAAAAAATGGGGACTGTGAGTGGAAGCCTCAAAGTGATCGCATAGATCGCACTGGAGTTTGTCTGCAAATGAAGCGAAACAATTTTGGTTGGAACAAGAGGTGAAGTCTCTTCGAAAGGTTTTGGATAGGGTGGCGGTTCCCACAGCTTTCCATGAATCTGGATATTGGAATGGAGGGTTTGAGACAAAAGGTAACCCTCAAAACCATGGTCATGCAACTGTTGATCCTCGCACTGTCTTGGAATCTGTTTTGCATCGCGTGCCGACTGCTGGAAGTGGAGATGGTTCCCTACTGCCTCGGGCCTTGCATGGCGGCAGTGGTGAAGATGCTCTACAACGTCGGGCTTTGCATGGTGCTGATTCTCTACTGCCTCGGGCCTTGCATGGCGGCAGTGGTGAAGACGCTCTACAACATCGGGCTGTGCATGGGGCTCCTAAGGTACCAGGCGGTGTTCGGGCTGCATATGTGCACGGTGAACACCATGACCGCGATCGGGCTTTCCAGCACGGAGAACATCAATGCGGCGGTCGGGCTCTCATGGAGCATGATCCTCATGACGGAGTTCGGGCTTTTGCAGAGCATGGTGGACTCCGTGATGACGCTCGGGCTTTTGGCTTGCATGGTGCTGTACCTGGACAAGCTCGGGCTCCGTCGATGGCCGAAGATCCAAGGCGGGGACTATTTGACTGTGGACCCGGACGCTCCTGTGAACTTCCACGGCATGATGTGGGGGGAGGTGGAGTGGGAGATGGAAAGTTTTTTGGGCGCACCTATGGCCCATGGTCAGAGGGCTCAGGATCTATGAACACAAAAGGAGAGCTACCTGATTTGCCCTCTGATTCGTCTCCTTTGCAATTTGGAGATTGGTTGCATTTGATCACACCGATCATGAAAGACATCAGTGCTTCTGCTGGATGGTGGTGGGAATCAACTTTGCGTGAAGCGAAAGGATTCTATGAGGAGTGGCGCCGAAGTTCACCTCTGCAACGGATCCAAATCCAACCTCGACTACCTGAAGACTTGCAGGAGGCCCACTTCCAGAGAACTGAACAACGTGGGATCCAGATGCTTCTCAAGGCGATCCCAGCACAAGAACAGCAGGCACTTGTCACAGATCGTGTGTTGAGCTCCACTGCAATCATCTACAAGCTGCTGGTGAGGTTTCAACCTGGTGGAGCAGGAGAGAAACAATTGCTGCTGTCTCAGTTGACAACAATCCCCAAAGCCAAAGATGTGACTGAAGCTGCGGCAGGCATTCGCAACTGGCGACGACATTATGGTCGAGCTCAAGAAGTTGAAGTTGCATTGCCTGATGGTGTCTTGTTACTCAAAGCATTGGACACCCCGCTGCAGTTTCTGGGCAACATGGATCCCCAAGCAGCATTTCGTTTGAGCCAGAGCCGGATGCAGCTTCAACTGGATCAACAACCAACACATCAGAATCTTTGGGCGTTTTCTCAGTGTTTGTTGGCTGAAGCCGAGACTTTAGCACTGCTTCAAACCTCCTCTACTTCAACAGTTTCAACAGTGCCTCTCAAACTCAAGCAGCTGGATGGTGACATGAAGTCTCCGGCCAAGTCTTCCAATGGAGACTCCAAATCAAAACCCAGTTCGATGGCTGACAAACCATGCCGCTACTTTGTGTCTGACAAGGGCTGCAAGGCGGGCAAAAGCTGCAAATGGCAACATGACTGGGAAAGCCTTGCAGACAAATCTGCACGCTGCTTTGTGTGCGGCAGCAAGGAGCACCGCAAGAACGACTGCAAGTTGCGCACCAAGAAGCCTGGTGAGCCGATGAGCTCAGGGGGAGGATCTGGTCAAGGACGTGGGGGGAGTGAAAACTCGACTTTGTCGTCCACGGAAATCTCTACGATGGGAGGAAAGGCTGGTGCAGCAGCAGCAAAAGTTTTGCAAGGTGCTGATTCTTCCGCTGCTACAACATCTTCATCTATGGCATCTCCGGGGGAGTCAAAGACTGGAGGTGGTGGAGATGACAATGGAAAAGGCTCCAGTGATGGAGGAACTGGTGGTGATCAAATTCCCAAAGCTGGATCAAAAGGTGGCACTGAAGATCTCCTACATGAGGCTACCCAGCTTTTGAAGTCACTTCGACTTCAGCCCAAGATCAACGTGATGCAGCTGGCTGGTTTAGACCAAGCTGAGGACAACTGGGTGCTGATTGATTCAGGTGCCACTCATGCACTTCGTCCTGCACATGATCTACATGAATGGACCAACGCAGAAAGAACTGTGGTGCAGCTGGCCACTGGTGAGACAGAAACCTTTCGTCTCAAGAAGGGCACCAAGGTGTTGTTGGGGCATCCAACACAGACGACCTCAAGGATCGTGCCTATGGGTGGTCTCACCGCGCTGGACTTCACACTGCAATGGTCTGGAGATCAATGCCAGCTACGCGACGATGAGGGCAGGGAATTTGAGGTACGAGTTGTTCAAGGCTGCCCTATGGTATCTCTAGCAGATGGCCAGAGAATTTTGGAGTGGCTGGAGTGGTATCAGGTGCATCAACAACGGAAGCTGGCGATGGTGAGAACTTTGCTGGCTGATGATACACAAGTGGATCGACAGCGTTTGGACTTGGAATTGGCCTTGACCTACAAGTTGCGGCAGCTCTTTCCACATCTTCCTGATGAAGTCATGATGAGAGTAGTACCGCATCTGGAAATGGTCAAGACGGAGAACTTTGAGTCCAACCTTCCATGGAATCGGCACAAACGCCGACGTCTCCGTCAAGCCAAGCACGTGATCATCCACTTGTTTTCAGGCCCAGATCACAACTACTGGGATCAAAGATGCGCCAATGCCAACACAGAGGTGCTTTGCATTGATACTACATGCTCTACGCCTGCCAACCTCCATGATCGGAATGTGTTTGGCTATCTGCTCACACTTTGTGTCAGAAGATGCGTCTGAAGATGAAAATGCAGGTGCAAGCTCCAAGGGGCGTCAAAAGAGGGGCACTTCATCACTGACTTCGAAGCGACCGTCGGGCTCGCGCAGCGGATGCCCTACATCACAAAGTATGACAAGTGGCTCCGCTACCAGAAAAGATGTGATGGAAGTCTCAAAAAGATCGACACGATCTGGAGCGAGTGAGGTTGAAAATGCTGGGCCGACTTCATCAATGTTTTCAAGGGGACAATCGGGCTTGAGCGATGGTGAGCTGGATTTGTCTTTGAGTATAAGGCGACGGTCGGGCTCAAGCAAAGCATGCGCAGCGGGCGAACCTGCTGCTGATCTTTGCGGCGCTGCAGCTGTGATTGAGAGCGAAACGGGAGCTCTCGAAAATCGTAGTGTAGGCAGTGTTGTAGGTGAGGGTTCAAAGGGGGGACCTAAAGGGGTCGCATCATCCAACCCCTGGAACCATTTTCAGCATGCGTACAAAGGCAAGGGCCTGAATTCCTGAATTCCACTTCCATATCCCAATTGTATCATCAACGGAAGTTGGAACAAAGTAGCCGAAATCCAACATAGAATGCCTTGAGCCGACGCACTGACATGTGCGATTTCTTTTTCAATGCCATGTTTTTCCCTTGGAATTGCCGACCGGCAATTGGGGGAGCCTGAACAGCTGAGGACATCTTAGCATATCTGAAGGCATTTTGTGTCGAAGAAGGGTGAAAAAGCCCCCTGTCTTTTGAGTATATATATATATGGAAAATACATCTATATTAATGTACATTAGTCATTCTGATGGGTTTTTTCTTTGGGCCCACGGCCAAGGTCGAGCCACCTGCTGCCAAATCCGATTTCGGGCCATGGGTCGCTTGGCCATGGTGAAAATTCGCCCTGAAAAAAGTGGAAAAAGTGGTTAGGAGATGTGGAAAACCAATGTTTCAATATAGTGGTTAGGAATCTAGCAAACAATTTTTTTATGAATCCTTGGTGGTGAGGATATGTTAAGTTGAGATATCAGTGGCTTAACTATGGTTTATAGTAGATATGCCTATACTTAATGGGCTTTATAAACCAACTGATGACTGGAGGGCCCCATCCTGGAGGATATGTCAGGATTAAAAATGGATTCTTGGGGTCACTGGTTGCGACTTGTTTCGCGCTGGGGCAAGGGACATGTACAGACTGAGTGGAGGTAATTTGGGTCTCCGTGTCCTCCAGACTATTCCAGACTGGTGGGTTTTTAATGAAATACCCTCTGGTGAACTAACAGTTTGCTATGGAAAGATCCACCATTTTTCATGGGAAAATCCACTATTTCTATGGCAATTTTCCATTGCTATGTTAGTTTACCAGAGGGTATACACAATCAATGTCTGGTTGGTGGTTTGGAACATGAATTTTATGACTTTCCATATATCGGGAATAATCATCCCAACTGACGAACTCCATCATTTTTCAGGGGGGTAGGTATACCACCAACCAGACACTTATACCCTCTGGTAAACTGACATAACTATGAACAATCACCATTTTATACTTGGGTAAATCCACTATTTCTATGATCATTTTCAATAGCTACGTAACAATTACCAGATGGTATACCATCATTATTATACCATCATCATACATTCTACTATATGTAACAAATTACCAGAGGGTGCACAATGTATACGTTCATTGTTTGAAATCTTCCAGTGATCCAACCCGTGAGTTGCCCTGGAAATCTTGCCTCAGGAGGGGAAGACTCCAACTGGAAGGACGACGGATGTCCCCGATTTCAAGACCTAGTGGCCTGCACCCCGTTGAATGATAGGATAAAGGAAATCATCCCAGCCCATAGCTGGCCGAACTTTTCGGGCTAATGACATATGATATCATATGATCATTTACCCAGTACATTTCGTTTTATTTTTGGTACATTTTCTATACATCAATAGTGCCAACTATCTCGCCTTACCTGGCTTGGCAGGACCTCGAGGTACAAAGCCTACCAGCAGCGGTCTCGGATCAAATTGGTAAGGGATCCAGTGAGGTCTTTCTCAGTTTGTGCCATGTATTTCAGAGGAAAACCAATACAACACGATACATTGTGTGATATGATACAAATTCATGTGGAAAACATGTGACAAAGAATTCAATTAACCTGATGTAATGTTATTTGTACTATAGTTGGATAAGATAATACATACACAATACTGTATCATTTGAGTTATGCCAATCTGATACACTTAACTACACCAGAATTTCCGAGAATGTGATATCAACTGATACAACATCTTACACTATAGCAAACTATTTCGATATAATAAACGGTTTATGATTATGGCTTAAACATGTTACTTCAATTTAACAAAAGATGCATATAATATTACATAACCTAATGTAAGACACAACTTTTCATATACTAGTAGTATAGTTTAAGTTATTTTATTTTATTTTATAATAATGCAATACTGCAGTAAAACATGTTTAAAGTTATATAAACCTACAATACAACACATCAGGGTCTATTTTAACATGAAATAAAACAATAGTATAATAGACTGCAGTATCATATATGTAATACTGTACAATATAGTAAAACAATGTTGTAAGAATGTGATCAAATAATGTAGCATGTTCCGATAGAATGCGGTATGACACAATAGAATATAGATGAATATAGTAGAATAATGTAGAATATACATAATATAATTTAACATTATGTAATACAGCATTAGATAACACCACGGGGTCATACTTTAATTTGATATGGTATGCTTTGATTTAATATGTATATATATACATAATATTTATAGTTAATATGATATCATGCAATAGACTATTTTACAACGCAGCATAATACAATACTTTAGGTTAGCATAGTGTAATGTGATACATATACATGTAAGTATTATATAATATTATGTTACTCAAGATTCATTTGATACAAACCAATATTACCTTGTGTAGTAAACCCAAAAAAGATTGAACTAACGAAAATTACCACTATTTTACTAAGATGTTACTTTTCTATCTTTCGTGCACAGGTACTAGATGTATGAATATAGCTTTGTCCAAGTTTATCCAAAAGCCAGGATTAGTTAAGGAGTAGGAGGTTTTTGCCAATCGCTCACCTGTTAGTTCAGGGTGATTTCCATGTTTTCTGAACCCCAGGATCTCCCAGCTTTCATCGTTCAAAGGTGGTTGGAATTTTACGGTCGAAAAAAGGTGATTTCCTATACCCTCTGGTAAACTGTTACGTAACTATGGAAAGATCCACCATTTTTAATGGGTAAATCCACTATAAATGGCCATTTTCAATAGCTATGTTAGTTTACCAGAGGGTAGCTTTGTGGCTCCCCTCATGCGTGGCTCCTTTTTTCTGCAAATCCCCGAAGCTAAGGAGTCCAGTGCGATCTTCGGGGCAGGCCTGATGAGCAAAACTTTGGTACAAAAATCTTCATGACAATCCCATATTTTCTGAACAGGTGAGCAGTGTTCAAAACCCCGGCCAATGGGGGTTGTCACAATCGGGTAGCACAGCCAGAGAGGTTTCTGCAGATTTCAAGGGTTACCATATTTAGATCCTTGCATCTCCGCAATGTCTTGAAAAAACTCCAGTTTGGTTCGAATTGAGATTCTCACTATTCCTGATTTTTCCCTTAAAAAGTGAATCATGTTTTTTGTTTTGGTCTGAACATCTGCCCTTTATATATTTTTTTTGGTCCTCTCACCCCTCCAGGTGCCCGGGAAGGAGAAGTTTCTCATGTCTTGGTGCGAGAGGATGATGGGTCTGCTGGTTGGTGAACGTGGGGGGTGAAACCCCATGGGGGATATCCATCAATAGCTGGATGATTGGATGGTTGATTTCCATGGGAAAATCCGAATCTTTTTGAATGGATGAGAACTGGGGGTACCATGGGGTAGCCCTATTTTAGGAAACCTCCATGTGAATAGCTACCGGTAAAAACATACTCATTGTCCGAACGGGAAACCATGGGTTTTCCACGGCATATGTTAGTGAATTGTCCCAGGCTACCCTCCTGGGTGTCGTTTGCCATGGCGACTGGAGGTTGACAAAACATGAAAAAGCTGGGAACATCATTTGTAAATATGGTGAGTTTTCCAGTAAGATGTTTGATTACCAGAGGGTATTTGGACTTGTACTAGAAATAGTAGTTTCTTCATACAATGGATGTGTACAAAAATTAATATTCCATAGCAAAATGCTGTGCGCAACTCTGGGAATGATGATAGCAAGATATAGCAAGTGAAATGGGCACTGCTATGATCTTGGTATATCTGGGTAAAATATGGAACAGTTCGATGCTTTGCCAGTCGCCGGACATGATCAGTAGGGCTTGAGATCATCCAAGAACTTGCGAATATGTTTCCAATGTTGGAAGTGCGAATATGTTTATCATATATTCAAAACAGAATATGGGAAAGTATAATATGGGAAACTATGGGAAAATGTGGAAAATATGGGAATATGTTTATCTCACTTGTTGTAGTTTTCCCATATTTTCCCATCCAATGATCAGCAAGGGTCCAGAAACCAATGATCGGGATACATCCAAACGTATGCTAACGGTAGTAATCTTGAAGTAAGTAGAAGCAGCAAACGGATAAATGTCAGAGATGGTTGAACCGTGTTGAACCATATTAAGCCATGTTAAACCAGTGTTTTTGGGGTCTCAAATGGTTTCAACAGCGCATGGCATGATTTGACCTAGCTGACTCAACCTACAAGGAGCTGGATGGACCTTTTTTAACAGCCACCGTATCGAGATCATGAAAGATCATTTTTTTTTGAAATGAAGAGGGTCTATCCAAAATCCCAAAATGAATGTGGGATACATATATATATATATAACACATATCCAAATGTGGGATATTGATGGATATGGTGAAAGTCCAATGCGGCAACACTCTTTTCCCACAGGCCGACATCATTGGTGGATTTGGGAACCACAGCGAGACCTGAGGTTGGAGCTGGGACACGTCTACGAATTCCAAGTGCGAATCGGAGATCGTTGCAGAATTGGAAACTGGCACCTTGGCCACATTTGACATCACTTGACCCCGTTTGAACCATCGATTTGAACCAAACAATGCCATATGTTTCACATATGACACCATTTTTTGTCACCTGTCACCACCGATTTTGCGGAATTCAATGGGAATGATGGGAATTGGAGAACGGGGTTGGTGAAAAATATCCTGAAGATTCCCCAGAGCATTGGGCACGAGCCAGTCGAGGTCCGGCATCAGCCATCAAGTGACTGGGGGGATTCAACTAAAACTAAACCATCCATTTTTTCAATTAGTGTTTGTTAATTATATGATACCCTCTGGTAAACTGTTACGTAACTATGGAAAGATCCACCATTCTTAATGGGAAAACTCACTATAAATGGCCATTTTCAATAGCTATGTTAGTTTACCAGAGGGTATATCAAATCTAATGAGTTTTACAAGGTGTGAGCAATGCATTCTTCACGATGTAGAGGCAGTGATGACATTCTCATAGAATCGCAAGGGATATGCCATATGACGTACAATAAGAAAGTGGTTGTTCATGGAACTAGCCTGCGGATGCCTGCGGTACTCAAAGATGTCTAAGAAATCCCGAAGTAAAATGAAGTAAATACCCATATGCCCCATGTATGGAAAATTTACCAACATTTTACCCCAAACATTGCCCAAATGTAGGTAAATATTCCATACATGGAGCATCTGGGATAGAGATTTCGTAAATTTCGTCGTTGAGTTCGCTGGGAAAATGATGGTTAAGGGCATTTCAAGCGGAGCTGATTTTTTCTGAGATCCCCAAGGGGACCTGGCGAAAAAACGAAAGAAACTCCGATGGAAACCTCGAACAAGACCTCTGAGTGGTTTTTTTTTGAGTTTGGAAGAGTATGGAAGAGTTCAGGGGTCGATGTTTGGGAATGTTTGGGATAGAGATTGTGAGATTGATTTATTTGTCTTGTTCGTATGAACATGACAGACATTTAATCCTTCCCCGCTGGCAATTGGAAATCCCCAACAAAAACCCGGAGGTTTCAAATTCGGAACATCTAGGAAAATCATATAAAACCATCATGTATAAAATCATATAAAAGCCTCTTTAAAAAAAAAGGAGGTTTCAACAGGCAGCAAAAACATGTTGATTCCCGGAGCGACCAAGTGACCAAGGTCCAGATCTTTCCATCCTGTGAAGTTCGCGGTGTCCCCGCCCAAACCTCCTGAAGGCGGCGCGGCGATCGAAGGAGTTTTTGGTTGGGAAAGATTGGATGGAGCCATCGGGATATGAAGCTTACTGGTTGGTGCTTTGGAACATTAATTTTATTTTTCCATATACCCTCTGGTTATGTCAAAATAGCTATTGAAAAATGCCAGTTATAGTGGATTTTCCCATTAAACATGGTGATTTTCCATGGCTATGTTAGTTTACCAGAGGGCATTAGGAATAATCATCCCAGCTGACTAATATGTTTATATATTTTTCAGAGGGGTTCAAACCACCAACCAGATGAATATGGTTCCGAAGTCAGTTTATCTCATTGCTAATCTATTGGAATAGATTAAAATTTAATGTGTTGATGGGATAAAGTGTGATAAACCCCGTGGAAAGCCAGTTAAACCTATGACTTATATAGTATGCCATTGTGTACCTCTTGACCAAAGCCAGTTGGGATGAACATCCAAGATGGGGGGGACCTCTTAACGAGCCGCTTCAAAGATGGTTGGCTTCCAAGCTGCCATAGATGGGAGCTGACAACCCAAGTGATACGCTCTGGAAATCAATCATGGTACTGGGCAATTTCTATCTATTGATCATGTTCCCATTGAAACCCCTTGTTTTAAAGAGGATGTTCAATTGCCATGTTTGATCAACAGAGGGTACCCCGGCCTTTTTGTGGAGATAAAATCTTGGGAGATTCTAGTTAATTCTCTTTGTGTTTTCCGAGCAGAGAACCCTCACAACATCAGTGAGCCTGAAGAAACGCATGGTTTACCATTCAGATCCATTCAGCATTACCAGTGAAACTGCCATGAGTTTATGATTATGACATATTATGACATATCCCATGACGGATCCATGGTGCTGGTATATTAATGCTAACATTTGGGGTATATTGATGGGATCTATGTTACCATATATAGCATACATGGATCCTATGGGTATTATGACATATTATGACATATTATGACCTACCTTGACATAGCCATCCCAAGGTTCTTTTCTTCAAAGGCTTTTCTTCGCTGGCTCTAAGTCGAACGAACGGCTCAACGTATATTTAAGTGGCCATGGCTTGATCAAACATAGCGAACTGGAAAATCGTTGACCAAACAAAACCGAATAGAGATGATGTGTCTATTGAAAAGGCTGATTTTCCATAGGTATGTTGGTTTATGTTGGTTTATGTTGGTTTCCCTTTCAGGGTAATGACATGTCATGACTATTTTTTTGCAGGGTATCGAATCTAAGTCTCTACGTGATGAGTTTTATGATTGAGCTGGTATGTTATCCATTCGATTGTTGCGGGCAGTCAAGACTCATTTCCAAATTGGTAGGCATCCCTTGTTGCTTGTCACATGCCTCGGAAGAAATGTAGCCTGTGATGTTGCTTCCTTTGAAACTGGACCATTGAACTTGACTGCTTGGGATAAAGGGACTATATAGCCTTGTCAGAATAGGCTACCCCCCAAGATTTTTGGTTTATCATGATTTTCTCTACTCAAATATCATAAAATTGCTATTTGGGATGTACAGTATACAGTATCATACAATGTGAGGCCCCCAAGATAGCTAAGTTGGTTTACAACTCCAATAACTATGGTTTATGGTACTTATAACTATAGTTACTGGGGCTTATAAACCAACTTATAACTGGGGAGCCTCACATTGTATCATTTTCAGACTTTCAGCTGCGTATGACCATCGCAAGTTGTGTGTCATAGCTCCATGTTGGCCACTGCGAACTGGGCACAGGCAGTGGCTTGAAAGTGGTTGAGCAGGACCTCTAAACGGGCGATTGGGAAGCCGTTTGGAAAGGGTCACATCAAGCCATATAGAATGGACTAACCCTACTGAAAATTACCGTGCTCCATTCTACCTGTATGTAAGCAAGGATGAGTCACGCAGTAGAAGTTTATAATAGTGATAATATCATATAATATTTATGGTGTGCTCGAAAATCAATATATTTAATCCATTGGTTGCCCCTGCCATCAACTTGTCACTGTTTGGAGGTGACGCGTCGCTGGAATGGTGGAAATTGTGGTAACTATTCCCATTCATTCCCAAATAGCCCCCCATTTCATCTTATTTCATTTCTTTTCGGGGTTATATCAGCACAAGTAACATACATCTATATATAATTACTATTATTTTGGTTTTATGATAATTATATGATATATGAAATGTGATTGATGATGATGATGATGACGACGACGATGGCGATGGCGATGGCGATGGTGATGGCGATGGCGATGAGGATGATGATGATGATGATGATGATGATGATGATGACGGTGATGATGATGACTCTGATGACGATGACAATGACGATGGTGATGGTGATGGTGATGATGATGCTGCTGCTGGTGATGTTGTTGATGATGATGCTGATGCTGATGATGATGATGATGATGATGATGATGATGATGATGATGATGATGATGATGATGATGATCGTGATGATGATGATGATGATGATGATGATGATGATGATGATGATGATGATCGTGATGATGATGATGATGATGATGATGATGATGCTGATGATGATGATGGTGATGATGATGATGATGATGATGGCGATGGTGATGGTGATGACGGTGATGATCATGACTCTGATGACGCTGACGATGACAATGACGATGGTGATGGTGATGATGATGCTGCTGCTGGTGATGTTGATGATGATGAAGATGATGATGGTGATGGTGACGATGGTGGTGATGATGATGATGATTATGTTTCTTATTATATAATACTTAATGATCGTCGCTATTATTACTGTACTGTTTATCCAGAAATATCTGGGATGGCCGCCATTTCTTGGACCCAGCTTTAAAATGAAATAATGTACGCTCGCATGCTGAATGTGCATGCGATGCATAACATGCGGATAGGCCTCAGCCACTTCTGGTGTTTTTGTTGATGAACTTACACCAACATGACCCTGGTTGCAGCAGGAATGAATCACAGTTTTATTGCTATTCAATCTATTTCAACACCATTTTGCGATGTTTTCCCCGGACAATCTCTGGAGAAAGGACCATGGCATTCCATCAGATCCTCTAAAATCCAATGATTTTTCACAAAAAACAACTCGAAATTCCCATGGAAATTGAACATCCATGTGAAATTCCATTGAAAACCTACTGAACATCCACTCAAATCCCATGACATCCTCTTCTGAGCTTCGATGGGTTCCCTGAATCCCAGGGCGATCGAGCGGAAATGACCTGGGCCCCTTTCCAGCCCGACGAAAGCCTGGCAGTTGGGGACCTGAGACCAGAAATCCTTGGAGAAAACCTTGGAACACTGGGAAAATCCCATTAGAAAATCCACGGAAATATAGGAAAATCATGGAAAAATCCCATGGAAATATGGAAAAAATCTATGGAAATATGGAAAAATCCCATGAACATATAGGAAAATCCCATGGAAATATGGGAAAATCCCATGGACATATGGGAAAATCCCATGGGAAATGGGGAATGTTTTGCCATACTTGAATAGTACGAAGAACAAATTTGTATTCGGGTTTATTGAACAGGTTTTCATCGGGACATGACCATCAAAAACAGTGATTTAACTACGACAACTGGTGACTTGAGAAAAACATGGAAATAGAATGTGAAACCAACCATACACTTTGGTTTTCATTGGATCATCTGGGTGAATATGGATCCAGCGGATAGTGTATAAAGAGGTGATTTATGGTTCTTTGAAGGTTTCATCGGGACTTAATCAGCAAAAAATGGGACTTAACCTGCACAAAAGTAGTGATTGCGGTTTAGTAGGTCACTTGCACATATTTGGGACCACTGGTGTGGGGGTGTGTTTATTTTAAACTAACACTGCTACGGAAAATCACAATTCTGATAGGTAAATCGTGGAACTAAATGGGTCATGGCTTTCATAGCTATGTTGGTTTACTGGAGGGTAATTTTCAAGTGATCCAATATGAATGGATAATGGGCCGTGTACAATGTGGTAATATGAATGTGAGTTTCATCAATTCAATATAATGGGGTTACATAGAAATATTCATGTGGTAAACCCAATATGCAAATTATAAACAGCTACCATTTTTTCCTGTCGTTTAAAACGTATTTTCACCACTGGTGACAATGTTGGGGATGATTTAGGGTTTATGTGTTTTTTTCCCCTCCCCAAAATATTGATCCAACATGTTCCAAATATGTATGACACATTTGAGATCTATGGGTCAGCAGTATGGGTCAGCACTTTGGACATTGTCATGTCGTGGCAAGATGGATCTGACATCATCACACGCTGGGGTCTCCCATGTGTAGGCTGCGGGTCAAAACTGGTCGAGCAAAAAACGGATTCAGCTGAGAGTTGTTGCACCCCGGTACCAACATGCTTGCTAGGCGAGCCTTCTGTGAGTCCAAACTCATGGTGACATGTGAAGCACTGCATCCCATACTATATCTTGGAATTTTGTACGATCTTCATTGCGAACTTACCAGGGTTGTGAAACACTCCCATTATATCCCATTATTCCCAGTTTTGGTTGAACATCGCGCCCAAAATCAGACCTTGAACGCATTATCATGGCCAAACGTTGGATTATATATATATATATACATAGATACTATTTCGAAGAAGCATCGAAGCAACTGTGTGCCAGAGCCAAAAAAAAAGATACTATGTACATATGCATTATATAATATGCTATATATATATATTATATATACACCATATGGTTTGTCATGAATTCTGGAATTTACACATGCATTGGATTCCCATGTTTGGATGACCGGCCCCAGGGGCCCCATGATTTACCACCGTCCAGGCACAACTTCCCGGCTTCAAGCATTTGCCTATTGAGCCGGCGACCAAGTTGGTTGAAATCTAAGGGGCACAGGGACCCCAGGGGCCCCAGGGACCCCAGGGATTTTAGGGACCCCAGCATGTGCCTCAGATGAATGGATTCTCAACCAACATCAACCCCAAAATGCGCCAGGATTTCCTGAAGGTGATGTTCTTTTTTTCAAGTGGGAAATCCACTAGTTGTGGAATCTTTGAGGAATATGTGTTTACTTTTTTTAAGTTCTTTAAGCACATCCAAGAATAGGGACCTCATTAAACACCCATAGTCACCGTGGAACCCTTCGGGCCATGGCGGCCCTGAGAGTTTTTCGATCCTCTTGGGGAGGAGGAAGCCATGGTGCCCACCTTCCATACGTATCATACAGGGGGTTCCTGTAAGATTTCCAGACATACATATGTATATATATATATATAAACAGTATACATCTGAAAAATTAAAGGAAAACAAATCTTGGGCTTTAGATGGGATATATATATATATCCCAGTATAATAGATGATGAGTATATATATATATACACAGTATACACAGTATAAATCTAACATAGCTATGGAAAGATCCACCATTTTTAATGGGTAAATCCACTACAAATGGCCATTTTCAATAGCTTTCTGTTAACGTTTACCAGAGGGTACACAGTATAAATATCATGTCCTGACTTTCACCACACTGCCATTTTCCATCAAATCATTGGATTCCTGGCGCTCGAGCTACGCTATGGTGAATGTACAAACGCGACGCGACACATTCGAAACGCACATATGACTGGTTTGTGGTTTTCAAATATATAATATATATATATACGTTTATATATAATTATTTATATATATATATATTATATTATATTATATTTTAATAGGCAGGATGGTACATTGTACATTATGTAATTGAAATTAGAATGTTTCATCGCTTATGCATGATGCTTTCTTGTTGCCACCAACGAGATTTAGTTTGCTTTCGGAGTGTGAAACCACGGTGTGTCCACCTGGAGCTCATTACCCGCGATATATCCAAACGCCAGAAGCTTGATCGGAACATCAATGATAACACCATCACCGGATATCACCGGTGTATTGAAAAATGTATTTCAGATCAATTCACCGAAGAATTCACCCATAAAAAGCGATGGTGAACTTGGATGAACTTGGTACCATCCAGCTCGGTACCAAGGTACACTTTGAGTGTCCTTGGCGGCAGTTCTTCAGAACCCTTGTCGAAGCCTAAAAGATTTTTTGGTGCGGGAGTTCGGTCATGGCTCATGGCTACGGGTAGCGAGCCGCAGATTTTGGGGTTGAAATATTGGTAACCATCAATATTAACCATCAATAATCTTCATAAACCATCAATAATCTTCATAATACTTGAGATTAACCATCAATAATCTTCATAAACCATCAATAATCATCATAATACTTGAGATAAACCATGAATAATCTTCATAAACCATCAATCATCTTCATAATACTTGAGATAAACCATCAATAATCTTCATAAACCATCAATAATCTTCATAATACTTGAGATTAACCATCAATAATCTTCATAAACCATCAATAATCTTCATAATACTTGAGATAAACCATCAATAATCTTCATAAACCATCAATAATCTTCATAATACTTGAGATAAACCATGAATAATCTTCATAAACCATCAATAATCTTCATAATACTTGAGATAAACCATCAATAATCTTCATAAACCATCAATAATCATCATAATACTTGAGATAAACCATCAATAATCATCATAAACCATAAAATATTAACTATGATATAAACTATAACTATTGATGGTTGATGATTATTGATGGATATTGATGGTTCATCATTATAAGCCATCATTGTTGTTTCCAGCATCTAATATTGTTTCAATGAAGTCTCCCAACTGGATCAAACTGGCACAACTGGATCAAACTGAGAGTGATGTTGAAGCCGTCCCCGTTGTGGTTTTTTGAAGCAACGACTTGTCACTGGTCAAGCGAAGCTGGTCACATCCGACGAAACATCGCATGGCCAGGCCATTCTCTCAACATCTTCGGGATGGTTCCATAAATGGAGTTACCCCATAGCTGGATGGTTTATTTCATGGAAAATCCCAATGAAAAATGGATGATTTATATGGGGGTACCCCCAATGACTTAGGACACCTCCATATCTGGTTGGTGGTTTGGAACATGAATTTTATGACTTTCCATGTACTGGGAATGTCATCATCCCAACGGACTTTCACTCCATCATTTTTCAGAGGGGTAGGTCAACCACCAACCAGATTAATTATTAAAAATCATTAACCATATATTAACCATCATTAACCATCTTTTCCATCGTTAACCATCTTTTCCATCTCATTTTCCAGATTTCCGGAACTTTCCCGGCCCCTCTCCAGGTCCAGCATATGCACTTCAGAGACGCGGGCCATGGTGCATGGCTTACAGCCATTGACCGCGTATTCGACGATGTTGGTGGTCTTGACCTCAACGCTGGAGCGGATAAAACACATCATGAACGAATATTCATGTCCGATGTTAGATGTTCTATAAATTTACGTGACATGATGAAGATGCATGAGAAGATTGGATTATATATATATACGTAAATACACATCACCGCTATGAATGTATGCACATGTTACCCACATTAGCAATTCCTATTTACACGTATTCTGCATATTCTGCTATTGGTTTCAGACCCAGTTCTGGGTCAACTCGGGTATTCCAAGCTCCAAAGTTTTTGAATGCGTATACCGCATTTTGAGACAGATATATATATATACATAATTATTGTTGGTCGAAGTCAGATACCCATAGTATACCTCATATTATCCCATATCATATCTCATATTATCCCATAGTATACTTCATAATATCCCATATTTTACCCCATATTGGATATGATCCTGTATCATATCATTCTTGCCCATATGATCCCATATTATACCCCATATTTTACCCTGGTTGGTGGTTTGGAACATTTTTATTTTTCCAGAAAAAATTGGATAATCCTTCCCATTGACTTATAATTTTCAAGATGGTTAAAACTACCAACCACTCATTCATTGGCTGTTTTTCTTCCCCCCAAGGGATCGCTTTCCCAAGGGCTGAAAAACCGCGTCCCAGGCCAAGTGGAGTCGCTTTGGGGCGGAAGGCGCGGCCCGAAGGTGGCGAATCGCGCCCCAAAAGTCAAACGTTGGTAAAGCCATCAAGATCCATTAATGTGCAGTATAATAGGATATATATATATATGATTGATATATATATATATACGTATATATGTGATATATATATATATGTGGTGTGTATATATATATACATAATTTGATAATATAGATCCACTCAGTATCATAGTATATTTATACATATTTCGATAGTATGGTTGTATCCCAAAGATTTAAGTCACATGTTAATACTTGTTAACACTATTATAGTTAACTTAAACTTAAACCCATAATAATATAGTTATATATTCTCCATAAACAATAATTAGCCCAAATTAAAGCATAAGTTAAAAGTCAACTTAGCGATCGGTTTGGGGCCGCACCTTGCAAACACCTTGGGCTTTTTTGAATAATGGACATATGAACCAACTATCAATGGATTCCTGATGATGTTGATGAATTTGATCTCAACCTCACGTCGATCTCAACCTCATTCGACCTATGGGAATTGGTTTGGGGCATCGATGAACCCCAAACGGCTGAACTCTTCAGGCGAACGTGCTTTCAGATTCGTGAATTACCCTAAATAATCCAAATGATGGTTATTGATGATTAGATGCAATCGTGGTTTCAACATGTAGTTATAGTGTAGATTCAATCATTAGGATGGGGTTGTAAGGGGATTCAACCATAATTTTCACGGGATTTAATCATCTGAGACTATGGCTATATAGTTGATAAATGACGATTGGCCATTTTGTTGGCGGGTGACCTACCCCATATAGATATATATATATATATTCCCTGGCGCGCTCCCCCTTGCGTCTGCCGGGGTCGGCGGATTTACATATACATATATTACATGTATATATAATACAGACTTATCTATATCTGGCGAATTATCTCCAACATCGACCAACCTGGATGGTCAGGGTCATCCTATAGGGTCATCCACCAAGCGGTAGAACTTTGATCCATAGCCATACTAAATAGCCGGTATAGACAGTATACAATATACATATATATATATATAAATATATTATATTATATATAAATATATACATATAGATATCGATACATGTGTCCGAACATGGTTATTTCAAATAGAGAAAGTGAGGTTTTATTCCATGATATTAGATATTCCATTGGATTCGTGTTTGTTCTTCTATGTTTCATCTTGTTTCCTAAATTTCCAGGTACCAAACCTATAGTCATTGGATTTGTTTACGGGAAAATTTACAGGAACCCACCATGATCTTCATGTTAAAAACCATGGTTTCCGGTTCAGATTTTCCCGACTAAACCAATCCTATGACTATAGACTTCCAATCTTACAAAAATATTATCCAAATCTTAGGATATCAGGCAGCCATATGTACCTATTATGTATATATCTACCATCTGGTACACTGTTACATAACTATGGAAAATCACCATTTTATAGTTGGGTACATCAACTATTTCTATGGCCATTTTCAATAGCAAACTGTTAAATTACCGGAGGGTAAATCATGGTACATCATCATATTCATTCTATATAAGTGGCATAAATGTGGCTTCCATAGCCATGTTAAATCACCAGAGGGTACCTAAAATGTCCATGTCCAACAAAAGGGGTACCAGCCATCAACCAGGTCGTGACACTGAGCATGTCTTGATGGCTGCGTTTGTGACCTCAGGCGGGCGGAGCGGGGGATGGAAGTTATTTAATTGGATTCCACAGAAGAGTGGAGGTACATATATATATATATATATTTATATGTATTTGTATTATATTATATATATATATATATTAGGTAGATTCTATAACAGAGGCCTAGATGGCCCTAGTTAAGATATATATATATTTATATACATAATTATCATAGTTTTTTCCCCTCTCATGGTTTATATCTCCAGTCTTCTGTGAATATATGTATATGTATATGTATATGCATATGCATATGTATATGTATATGTTTGTATATGTATGTGTATATATATATAGAAAAACAAATATCTATCTATCAAAACATCCTGAAGTAGATAAAATAATTATATGTTTTTTCAAGCAAAATTCCTTTTTTGATGGTGATTTTTTGAAGTGTCAATGTTCTATCTACTCCATGACTATATATGGATACAGAGGGAGAGCCTGAAATGATGAGATGACTTGTGAACAATAAGGTGGCTATAATCTATGGCCAAGCAAATAGGGCTTGCCATGATATAGAACATCGCCTTTCTTGATGCCATGGGTCTGCAATGTTCGACCCTGGGAAGTACATATTGTTTATACTGTACGTATTTTTTCCATCATTCTGGAGTAGATAGAATATGGACTTTTCACCAAAATCCTCAACTCAGAATTGTTTTTTGAAAATTCCATCTTCTATCTACTTCAGGATGATTGTAGATATATATATATATTAATACATATATATATATTGTATATATTAATCTATGGACCAGACATTTGTGGTAATGCATCCCCTGCAGATATTGGAAAGTGTCACCACTTTCCAGGTCTTGGTGGCAGCAAACTCACCGCAGAGTCTGAGTCTGAGTGGTTGAGGCAGTGTGCAGTTGCGAAGTTTTGGATTTACGCTCCGGTAAACTGTTACATAACTATGGAAAATCACCATCGTCAATAGGTAAATCAACTATAAATGGGCCATGTTCAATAGCTATGTAACAAATTACCAGAGGGTATCATGGAACTTTAGAGCAATCGGCCTAGAGCGGCTGGTTTTTTTTTTGTTTTGGATTTATCATGGTTTCATGGACATTGACCAGAACCCCCAGGAGAACATTGCGATTTCTTTCAGGGTCGTCCAGAATCCACTGGGATGAACGATCAAATCGACACCTCCGTTGTGCGAACTGCGAACGTTGGGTGTTTAGTATTGGATCTAAATATTTAATCTACTGTAATCCGATTGAGAAATATAACTAGTGGATTTAGTTGGATCTAAATTGTGGATTGATGAGAACTACCCACAAAATACCGAACTAGTGGATATAACTAGTGTATTTAGCTAGTGGATCTAAATATTTAGTGGGGCACACACAGATATTTAATCTACTGTAATCGGGGTCACATCGAGGCTGTCAGTTCGGCTGCCCACAGAGCAATTGGATGGTTATGGACCTGTGGCGCAGGGGGCTCAGGTCCAGTACTTCTTTGGAGGGTCCAAGAGGTTTTCGTTCGGTTTTATACATCTTCGTATAACATATGTTGCTATGTATATTATACAAATATATATATATATATATGTACATGTATCATATTGATTGGTTTGTTTGTTTGATTGATTGATTGATTCATTCATTCATTCATTCATTCATTCATCCATTCATTCATTCATTCATTCATTCACTCTTTCATTGATTCACCCACTCTTTCATTCGTTCATTCATTCATTCCATTTCATTACAACTCATTGCATGTCATTTTCTTTCATTTCAGTTTCTTTCATTTCATTTCATTTTCGTTCATTTCATTTTATTTTCGTTCATTTCATTCATTCTTTCTTTCTTCCATCGTTTCATTTACTGTATTTCATTCATTTTATTTCATTTCATTTCATTCATTTCGTTTCATTCATTTCATTCTTTTCATTTCATTCAATTCATTTCATGTCATGTCATTTCATGTGTGCATTCATTTCATTCAATTCATGTCATGTCATTTCATTTCATGTCATGTCATTTTGTTCATTCATTTCATTTCATTTCATGTCATTTCATGTCATTTCATGTCATTTCATTTTGTTTCATTTTGTTTCATTTCAATTTTTCATTCATTTCATTTCATGTCATTTCATTTACTGATTGATTCATTGATTTATTGATTCATTGAATCATTGAATGATTAATTCATTGATTTATCGTTCTTATTTATTTGTATTCATTGTAATGATATGTTAATGCATATAGATAGGAAATATATCGCTGAATGCAAAGTACAGAAACCATGTTGGAAACAAAAATTGTTCGAGCTTCTGGCTTCATTCAGGCCGGCGGTCGCAAAGATTCCAGTGCAAGGTGCGTGATCAAATTGTCGGCTTTCTGGATGAATTGAAAGAGAGCCTGCTTGCCATCAAATCAATTGGACAATTATGGAGACATTAGGTTTTTACCCATTGGAAGTGTGTGTTTTTTTCCCCCCTGAAATTTTGAGACGAACCTACATTTTGGATCATTTTGGAGTAGAATCTCAAGTTGTGACCGTCTCCCAAGGCTGACTAATCTGCTCAGCTGGTCGAGAAATAACCCACATCTCCTAAGCAGACAGGGTTACAAACTGCGAAAAAACCGAGTTGGCTGTCTCGGATGGTTACTGGTGTTACGATGTGTCACGATATGACTAAAGTGGATGGTTTTTTTTTTGGCTCAGCGCATACCATAGGGTTTGTTACAGAGTGCAGCCTTCACGGGCAAAAGTGGCTTGAGTTTGTCTTCATTATTGGTGTTTTCCACTAATAGAAAATGACTAATGTGGATAAAACAATAGTAAACAATCCCCCAGTCATCACCATTTTTATAGGTGGTATGTTTACCATTCCCAAATGGGTGGTTTATGACATTGTTTTACCCACATTACTCACACTCGCATTGCGGCAGGCTCCTGTGAAAAGTTTCTGATATCAGTGATACCCTCCGGCAATCAAGCATGGCAATTGAAAATCCACCTAGATAAATTTCCCAGCTAAAACCCTCCATTTGCATCCATTCGTAGGGGATTTTGCTAGCAGCGTTTGATTACCGAACGGTATCTCAACCCTTTCGCCGGTCAAAATACCGTGCCAGCTGAAGTAAGGGGCAGGGTCACACCATTTTGGGTTTGGTAAATCCGAAACATTCCGAAACCATAATCCGGATCCTCCGGGACCAATGTCAGTTGTATGAGTTGTATCTTGAACATGGTTGGCAGCTGGCCGTATAAAAATCGTATTTGGGTGCATCCCACAGTTCCTGGATTCTGTCACTATCGCCACTATTGCCTATCGCTATTTTGTGATGGCCGATATACGAAATTGCACATTGTGTTTTTATGGGTCAGATCACGATTCTTTTGTGTTGAGAAACCCTTATTTTCAGTGCTTATAGGTACCCATTTCTGGTAACACACCTCTTGTTTTCGTTATTCAATCATGTTCAATCCTCCATTTAAGACTCCAACCATGTTTCAAGTCGAAACTCCTCATTTTTCCATCCATGGTTTCCCTATTTTTTCCCGCACGCTGGGTATTTTCCCACTGCGCCGGTCACCGTGATTCGCCCAGGTGGGCAACCTGCGGCCGTGACGTTGGACCTCGACCCGTGACCCGGACGGACGTGGGATTTCTCGGTGTTACTTAAGGTGCTACTTAAGGTGATTTGTTACTTGGTGATTTAATTGTATGGTGATTTATACACGTTTTCATCGTTTCAGAGGGTTTAGGGGTCTTCCTTTCTTGATCAAATTTAGCTGTCAGCTCTCATATCCAGTTAATGTCAGCCCTGAACCTTGGTTTGTACATCCTCCATGCCATCACCCTTGGGGGGGACTGACAAGTTTAATCAGCCACTGAATTTCAACACCGTTCATGCACGTGTTCATATGTTGTTTGATAACATAGCTCTGGACATCCACTATTGTTAATTTCTAAATCATCTACAAACAGACCATTTCCATACTTACGTGAGATAATCAGGGGGTTACAACATGTTACAACCACAAGGTGATGATTTTGCAGAGAGGCCTTGCAACTGTGTAGCTGAGCAAACAAAATCACCAGAGATTTTCGATATGAGATGATCGGACTGATGGATCCTTCTCACAGTTCATGGCAAATCTCCCCAGTAGAAGGTTCCCCCACTATGGCAAGTGGCTCCTTTGAAGATTTTTGGTCCCCAAAGGGCACCAGGCAGTTTACCAGGTATAGAACTTCGACTTGAGGTGAATTCAGTGCCTTCAGCATTCACTGTGAGTTCAACCTGGTCCTGGGGAGTTACAACACCCGTGGTCCCCAAAAAAACAAGCTATGGCGATCTCCAAAGAAAATTGGGGCGCCAAATCCTGAAACAAGTCAGGTCTGAGAAAAAACCGATTCCTCAATTCAGTAGCATCCCAACAATGGTAATTAAATGTTCTGGAATGTTTTGGAGAACAAAACCGCTCTTTGGAATTTAGAGTCATGCTACTAATCAGTGCCAGACCCAGACATTGTTTTTTGGCACGAAACCAGCACGCCATGCCTCACAACTCTGCAAAATTCATGAAACACATGTGGCTTTGGTACCTGAAAATCGGATACCCCATTCCATATATATATACACATTATATATATACATTATAAATACATATATATATATATGTACATTATAAATACATATGTGTATATATATATACACACTGTATATACACATTATAATATATATATGTACATTATAAATACATAAGTGTATATATATATATTATATATATACTGTATATACACATTATATATAATATATATAGTATTATATATATAATCCATCTCATGGTTTATCAAAACATCTCAAGCAGATGGCTTCTTACTGGGTACGCTACAGGTACTATGTGCAGCCCCGACTCCATCATTACAACGCGGATTTCGCCGCATCCTCAGAACAAAAGCTGGCAATTTCTGGTTGGTGGTGACTGGAACCATGGAATTTTAATGGGATATCATGGTGTTTTTAATGGGATATAATGGAACAAATGATTTCAAATCATATAAAAATTGAATTCACTCGTTCAATGATTTTAATGGGATATAGTAAATCAATAATGGAACCATGGAATGGATTATGACTTTCCCATCATATTGGGAATGTCATCATCCCAACTGACGAAGTCCATCATTTTTCAGAGGGGTGGCTCAACCAACCAGAAATCATATATATATACACATGTTTTCTAGTTGGTACTTCGAAAACTTAACAACCCAGATTGTTCTTCCTTGAGTAAAGATTATGAGCAAGACATCGTTTATTTTTTCCAGAAGACCCTTGGTCCTGGACTACTTGAACCAGTGATGCGTTAGATTTCCGGAGGTATCAACAGAGTAACATATGTGCTCAGGCGATTGTCCCATTTTCTGACCATAGCGATATGGTTAATAGATAACGATATTTCATCTATTAACTATCCCATAGGATCCATGTATGCTATATATACCCCAAATATTAGCATATATACCATACATGGATCCTATGGGTATTAACTATTAACATCTATTAATCATACCGATATTACGTTTAATCATGTTTAATCGTTGTTTCATGAAACATTTGCAGGCTGGCTTCACTACCTGGATGGGTATGGGTATGGGTCAAATCATTGGCTACCCAAAAATGAGATGGTCTACGAACTGAAATCATCCTGCAAGTGGTTTTATTTTTTGGTGGGGGTGCTGAAAAATGAATTTTGGTGGTGGTGTGTTTTTTTTTGTTAAACCAAATTTTGGTACCCAAGTTTAACCCCTTTTTTCTTGAGTTTTATTGGGATATTTAGATTTATTCGTTTCCCCAAAAAAAGACACGCTCTAGGTGCGAAGGCCCACCACACCTTCGCAAAGGGCACAAAGGTCAGCGGAGGAGCACGAGAGTTTTTTTTTTTGCGGCATCAAACATACCCTTTGGTTATGTTAAAATAGCTATGGAACATGGCCCAAATTTCGTTGATTTACCTTCTAATGTTACATCGACAATAGTAAAGGGGAGGCCCCCCTATATATTTTTTTTGGGGGGGAGTCTGCTTTGCAGTAGTAAATCGAAAATCCCAACTCTTCCCCAAGGCTTCTGTAAGGTTTTGACAAATCCAATGCAATCATAATTAAAAACCATTCACTAAATATCAATTAGCCCTTTGACAATTTAGTATTGGAAAATCTTATAATTTGGGAATTTTCTGAAAATTATTTGCAGCTATTGCGAATGCAGCACAATTATTGCAGATGCTCTGGACCAAGATTGTTGTCTGTAATTTAAAACCAATAAGGCCTAATTTAAAATCAATAGGGGCTGAAAAATCAGATTGTGAAAAATAATTGTAGCTATTGCACGCGCTTTACTATTGCCCATCCAACATTAAAAATGGTGATTTTCCAGTTTGCTATGTTGGTTTACTAGAGGGTATGTGTTTTTTTTCCCTCTTTAAATGAGGCATCCCCAAGTCACCATGGGTTATTACGGGTTTCAATACTAAAATTGTCAATTTTTGAACGAATTTGGGGTACCGCCATTTCAAGAACCCCCCATATCGTACCCCTTTTGGTTGCTTATTCTCGGGGGTAGTACATATTTGGATTATTGGGGATTCCGAAAAAAAGAGAAAAACACAACAATGCGATACACATCTATAAGTAGAGCGGGATGGGGGATAGGGGTATTTTACATGGCTCATTTGCTTTGTATATGTGCATGATTTAATATATTTTTTGGTGGTCGGTCCCAAAAATGTGTTTCACTGAGAGATGGTTGTGATATGTTTTGATATCATTCACTTTGGAATACAGGACTTGAATTGGGATGATTGAGGCTGCACGTGACCAGCATGTTTTATGCATCATATATATATATATACCCTCTGGTAATTTGACATAACTATTGAAAATGGCCCATTTATAGTTGATTTACCTATTAAAGTGGTGATGTTCCATAGTTATGTTAGTTTACCAGAGGGTATTATCATCTACCTATACTGTTGAATGTGGGGATATCGCTATGAATCAACCAACCAGTGGAGAAAAGAACATCTGTGGTTTGGGCAGCTCCCAGACAATTACCACTGGTTGGTGCTTTCTTGGATGAAACAACACCAATGACTGATACTTTTCCCGCGTTCAAACAACAGACCAGTAATGGGCAATCAATCATCCAACACTGATTTTGCAGAAATGAGTTATGGGTTTATTGGTTTTATTGTTTGATGGAGTAATGTAATTCCTATAACACCTTTTTCGTGTTTTTTTTTGCGAACTTTAATTGTGTTTGTATCATGTTCTTGTTTTTGCAGGTCCCTAAGGTTTGACATCTCAACGTTGGATGTCGCTGGCTCTCAAATTCCTCCAAACATGTGGTAAACGGTAGGTTCCAATGCCAGCTACCGTGACTGGTACAAGCCATGAACATGGTGATCACTTAGGGATGGTGACATTGGGTCCCACATTACCCCCCTGTGTTCGCAGGAGGAGCCACCTGCAGCCCCGGAAGGCAGCCAAAAATGGGCCTTTTGGATTGGCTGCGTCGATGGTAAATGGGCTTTCCCAATGAGATATCCACCACGATGGAATCAAAATTTTGGGAAGATGTCTTTTTTTCGGGGGCCTTCCCTGAACAAATCGAAAGATTTTGGAGATTTTTGGAGTTTTTTGGATGCAACATACATGAACATACAAGGGTTTAACGTATGTTTCCTTTCACATGGGATGGAATATTAACATGATATTGTAAAGTTGTTGATGATTCACCTATCTTCAGACAATCCTTCAGGGTTAGCAGCTGCATAATAGGGACCATAGATTTTGCATATTAGTGATGGACCTCAGTTACGATCCCCTGAGCGCCTGCAGATGTCACATGTCACATAAAAATGGTGATGCAGATGTCATTCCCAGGGCCATTTTTTTCAGCTTTAGGGTGTGTGAAACACGCTATTAAATGATCTATATGTGATTTTTTTTGATTGAACTATAGGGAAAAACCATGGACATGCGCCATTGTCAATCGGTTAAACTCATCGACTCAGTCCGGTCATTGTCAATTGGTCAAGGCTTGAGATCGGATCGAGCGCTTGAGCAGTGACCAACCCCCTGTTCGTAGCAAAAACAAGCGGTCAGCGGCGGTTGTAGTTTAGCAGATATGATATCCACTGATATCCTCATAATCCATATGGGAATCCTGGAATCAACTAACCAGAAGCAATTCGCAACCAGGTTTTTGAGTGTTTCTTTTGACAAAGAAATTTTTGGGTGGCATCTGACAGGGCAAGGCGGCAAGTTGTGGGGAGCCTCAGACCCCCAACAAGTCATAAAATGTCTCAATATTGAGCTTCGCGAATCATCAACTGAACATGACATTTTTGTGGACCCATTGGTAAACTGACGTAGCTGTGGAAAAAAATGAAAATTCTTTCAATGGGTAAATCAACTATCAATGGCAATTTTCAGAGGGTACATTTACAATAATGGGTTTTAAAACCCAGTTATATAATGTTATATATGGAATATCCCCACTTATAGATGGGATTATATGGGATTTACAATACAAATGGGACTTACGGAAGCCCCCAATGCTCAGCTTGAAGGAACTGAGAGAAATCGTGCTTAAGATGAATTGACTACACAAAAAAAGCCATGGTTACCCTCTGGCAATTTGTTACATAGCTATTGAAAATGACCATAGAAATAGTGGATTTACCCATTAAAAATGGTGGATCTTTCCAGTTCGCTATGTTAGTTCACCAGAGGGTAAGTTAGTTGGATTCTCGGCCAATCTTCAGTTCTTGGGGGATTCGGAATGGTCAGAAAAACCCATTTTCAGAGGGATTGGATGGTAGCCTGAAGGGGTAGCCTGGATGTGTGGATGGATTATGATGGATTCCTATTCTGAGATGGATGACGATACACCACAATGTAGCTTGATCATGGCACATATGGCTGATTTGCATTCACCATCACTCAGCGGTTTTCGGCAGGCCTCTCATTCAGCGGTTTCAGAGCATAGCATTCGTTGATGGGTCGACCTTGAAGACGGCTAGTTGGGTGATGGATTTTGGGGGTCATGCTATTTTCAGACATAGCAACTATGTGTAAATTCGGTCGTTTCACAGCTTGCTATGGAAAATGCCCATTGATTCGTTTACCTATCAAACATGGTGATTTCCCACAGTTATCTTAAATTACCAGAGGGTATGTCCATCAAATTGCATGAAATCCCATGAAATACCAATTATGGTTATACCATGGTTGGTTGAATAGCCATTAAACAGTAATATCACCAATTCAGCCCCTTTAAGCCATGTCAATGTCAAAAACCATTCACACCCGTGACGGATATTGCGTCGTTTCCTTTAGGCCATCTTTGGTGCCAATGCCTCCGCCCAAATTCACCACACGGGATCCTTTGTCCTTTGCTTTACGCTGGGGAACTCAGGAAAAATCTGGAGAAATGCGCTCGACAAATACTCGAAAAATATGGTGCTTTAATATGGTTTAAGAAGGTTAGTTTGATATGGGAGTATGGAGTCTTATCTGAAAGACATTGAAAATCATTAAAATACATTGAACTCCTCGAAAAATTGTGTTTTTTCATGGTTAGTTTGATATGGGAGTCTTCCCTGAAATACGTTAAGAAATACCATACCATTGACATACCATTGAAATACCTGGATTTGCTGAGTTGACAATGATGATATATGATGATCATGGGAAATACACGGGAATCGACAGGGAAGTCTGTCCATTCGGAATTTGGCAGAGTTTGGTTGCCGCTTGAGTCACAGCTGGTATGTGTATCTCTAAGTTCATTGTCAAGGCGATGTTAATTAAAAAAGGAACCATTGGTTCATCTACCATTTGGTGAGCAAATCTAGGGTATGATAAGGAAGGAAAAAAGCTACAGTAAAATATCCCTGCAAAGAACAAATATGGTTATAGGACAACATGCGAGTCTAGTGTTTGTTTTCCTCCCCTCGAAGAAGTGCACAATTTGGTAATTCCCGATGGTGGCGCAAGTCAATCCACTATGTTTGCAGTATAGTCTTTCTTTGTGTCTCGAGGTTCAAATTTCTGCGCGCACTTTCCCACAACCTTTAAAATTCCATTCTTCCAAGATTCCCCGCTTGCTTTCTTGCTAGCAATTGCAAGGAAAAAATGCGAAAAGATGCGAAAAGCAGCTGACCCATCCCCGGCTCTTAGCAGCCGGTGTCAGCAAAGACGCAGACTTCAGACTTTTAGATACTCATGCCAACCCCCCTCAATGGGATTCCCCCAAGAATTCCTGCGGCTTTATTGAGAGCTTATTTGCCACCACCAGCAATTATATCTTAAGCATTTTTGTTAGCCAACCGACCAACCAACTTGTGACGTTTGGCAAACGAAGATGATCCCCAAAGAACTGAAGAGCAGTGGCTGCTAAACCCTATTGTCGGTTGATGTTTTATGGGGTTATACTTCCCAAATCTTCCCAATACGTTGGGGATCATCACAATCCATCACAGGATCCCTATTAGCCAACCAAAAAAAAGTGGAATGACAGAGGGTTTTGAAAACTGTGACAACATGTTGACAACTGTCACTTCATACATTCATTTATACAGTATACATTCATTCATGCATGCATTCATTCATTCACAAACACACACACACACACGCAATCATGAACGTAAATTGAAGTACGTACTGACATACATACATAGGTACGTGTGTGTGTGGCTGTGTATAATATATATATATAATGTTATATACAATATAAACAGGTAATCCAGAGGTTGAAGTCAAAGGTTGTAGCACCAAATAGAAATGGAACATCTAATATACTTGTGTATTTTTTTATTATATATATATTAGTATATACACACATATAATATAAACACATATATTAGTATATAGTATAAATATATATATATATGTGTGTGTAGTACATAGTATAATATATATATATAGTATATATCCCAATACCCACTGACTCTCCGCTCAGTCCATCCGGTGGCACCTGCACCTGCACCTGGCGCACGCACGAGCCGCCCCAGCCCGCGACGACGGCTGCCCTGAGAGGGAGCTCCGGAGCTACCCGTTACCATGTTTTGGGGGATTTGGGCAAGATGGTTGGCAAGATCACAAGGAGATGACACACTCAGAATGGGGACATGACTTTATTTCTGTCGTTCCGATTAAATCCATTCACGCTGAAACAACGTGAATTCTTGACATTTCTTGACAAATTGCACGTATGGAGAAGGAAGGTTGTCCCGCAAAGCGGGGGTCTCCACAGCGGTCCACTGGGATCTGTCAAAAGAGGACTGATCTGGTGCTGAAAACAGCAGGACCGACGCGGAAAAAGCTGATCTCTGTGATTTTAGACCGTTCTTTGAACCATGGTGCAGTGTAGGGGTACTGTGGGGTAAACTAACATAGATGTGGAAACTGGTCCATTTACAGATTATTCAGATTATAATGGATGATTACCTATCAACAATTGTGATTTTCCACATTTATGTATAGTTATGTTAGTTTGCAGGAGGGTAACCGGGTAAGGGGCCACTTGGTATCAGACATTATCAGACTATTTCTTGAGGGTTGTCCAAAAGTTTTCCATCGGAATTCAGAGATGACAACTTATGGCTCGAACAATTCTGTATCAATGGACCTACACATTTGGCATTTGTTGGGAAATAATCTGATCCTTAGGATGAATATTGAATCATTATCCACGTTTCTAACCTTGCCTGACCCGTTCCCTTGCACAGTCTTTACCTTCTGCACCATACCAAGTCACATCAAGCTGGAAGAGTTCGACAGACTGATAGATGTCCCTCTTCCACTGGGTTGATGATTAAAGGGGTCACCCGGATTGAGATGATTATACTTATATCTAAAATTACATACGCCGAAGCTTATAAACTGCCATCACCGTTGCACATCGTTTTCTTTTTTGGGCAAATAGTCATCATCACATAAGATAACGACTATAAATATAGTATAAATCATTGTAAACTGATCATCAAAATGAATATAAATCATCAAAAACTGATCATAATCGAATATATGCCATTTTTTGGTGGCCCCTCGATTTTTACCAAGGTCTCAACATGCCGCCAGGTCTTCATTGAAGGAAGTCCGGATGAGCACCTTATGGTGAAGCTGCCGATGGTTTTTCCTGGGGCTGGCGATCGAAAAATGGGCCTAGGATCGAAAAAAGGGCAGATTTCGTGGGATTTAGTGGGACTTATATATATATATATTCTGTATATAATGCTGTATATGTATATACATGAACTGACCAGAGGGTATCTTGTGTACGGTTGTTTCGGAATGGCGAACATCACCTATTGATTGCATTCCAAAGACCTCTCGCTATCCTGGATATACCAAAGAAACATTATGAAGTGCGGCCCTTTCCCTCCAAAAACTAGGTGCCAGAGCTTCTTAAGAAGGGGCCAAAAGGCTCTTTTGACCTTGTAAGTGGATAACAACCTTGGTCATAAGTCCCCGATTCGTGGGTCACATGAATAAACACATATGAATAAACATGGGTTATTCCTCCAGTCATCAAGCATGAAATCATCCATTTAGTTCGATTTCCACAGGATTTCCCACGCTTGATTGATGTTCTCCCAGCTGCAACGCCAGTCTTGTTCTCCCAGCAGTACGCAGCTCATGTCCTTCAAACCCAGTTCTCTGGTAGAAGAGGAGCGCCCCCTCCGGACGATGGACTCCATGGGGGCGGTAACACAAAATGACTCACTGACGATATGTAAACTGGCGGACTGGCTCTAGAATCCAGTTTACTAGAGTAAAAACTGCCGTGACCATGCTGATGAAACACATGAACTAGAGGGATTCTATTTACAATAAATGTTTTAAGTTGGAAGAGGTTAAGCGGAAGCCTGTGTGTCCCAAGTAAACTCTCAGGGGCCATGTTTGGAAGCCTCCTGCAAAAACAAAACAACAAGCTGTTTTTTTGTGTTTTCTTCTCCGTGCCAAGAATCTTCGCATGCATCATATCATCATGTTGGAAGGCTACCAATCGGCAAACGTGCCCATATGCTCCATGTATTGACTATTTACCAACATTTGCCCCAAAAAACACCCAGTCATGTAGGTAAATATACCATACATTGAGCATATGGGATGGATGGTCAACTCTAAGAAGCCTTTCCAGTCACGGGATATCGTGTTCAGTGTGCCCCTGTTGGTTGATTATATGACACATATTAGGCTCTAAACGGAGGTTGCACCAATGGTTATACTATCTACTTATTAGTGGATTACTGGTTGGTGGTGACTGGAACCATGGAATTTTGAATGACTTTCCCATCATTAATTGGGAATGTTTAATCATCCCAACTGACGAACTCCATGATTTTTCAGAGGGGTAGGTCAACCACCAACCAGTAATATAGTGGATTATCATCATCCATTTTGTGAATCCCTATTGACACGGCAGTATAAAGGGACGACAGATTGATGGTTTTGAACACTGCTCATCTATAGACTATTTATGATTGTTTGGTAGTACAGTAGTGGGAGGCGACCCTATTTCAATTATCCAATGTTTATTGGGAAAACCTTGGCTGGGTATGTTAAGGTGTTCAGAGGTGTTTCTACAGATGGGTGAAGATGTCAAATGTTTAGCCATGGGCCACCAGTATATCCCAGCTTGAAATATAAGCTCTATATTATCCCATTCAACTAGCATGATACGCCAAACTCCAATGGGGCAGTTTCAAAGACCCCACTTGGTTGGCATGGTTGGCGAGTTTTTGGGGATTATATGGGATTATACTACCCAGTACATTGGGGGTGATCAGACTCTATTATGTGAATCCCAGGTGGGTATGGATCAATACCTATTAATACCATTTTTAGGGGAATGAACATCCATTTACCAGCTATTTTGATGTTCACCAGGGGTACAAGGTTTTGACACACTGCCAGGTAGCAAACCAGTATGGAGATGTTCCGATGAATGTTTGAAGAACATCTGAGAAGTGTTCAAAACCACTGTTGGCTGATGATTTTTTCATATGGAGCTGATACTACCCAATATATTGGTGATTGTCACAATCCATGTTGGGCATCCTATTAAAAAGGCAATGTAAAGGGACGACAGAGGTTCGTGCCACAGTGGTGACATAAAACTCATCCAAAAACGGAGACTTTTTTTGGTGCCCCATTTCTTTCAGACCCCAATGCAGGGGCTTCAAACAGAAGAGATTCCCATCTACTTTCTTGAAAGAAAGTGTCCCATCTCCGACTCATCTCGAGGAAAAATTCATGCACGTCCTCCATCGACTGGCTTCCTTATGCAAAGCGCGGGGAGTTCTCTTCAAACAGGTCTTCTTCGCCGGGGGTCCCATTGAAGACCGCATCGGTCAGAGCGTTCCCGGACATTTTTGGACTGGGATGTGTCGGAAGATGAAGCGTCGGATATGTCAATTTATAATATTTGGTTGGTGGTTTCAAACATTTTTTGTTTTCCATAATATATGGGATAATCCTTCCCATTGACTAATATGTTTCAGGGGGATTGAAACCACCAACCAGATATGATTGGATGGGAAATGTGTAGCCATGGAAAATGGCCCATTTAGTTCGATGATAGCCGTGATGACTAGGGGTGTTTTAAAACACGGTGATTTTCCAGAGCAACCGTCCCGTTAAATAACCAGAGGGTATACCGATCAAATCCATACCAGGTTGAACATCATATTTGTTAAAGAAAAGTACAGTAAATCATCTATAACGGTCCAGTTTCCATAAATAGCTGAAGGGTAACAATTCCATCATCACACTTAGTAACTGGCTAATAAGCCTGCTTAGTAAGTCCATGTAAGTCCGCTAAGTGGCGTGTCCCATCCATAAGTGTTTTACAACCATTGTTATTAAATGTTAACCACCTATTAATTCGAGGCCATGTTTGGGTTAATGGATGTTAATGGTTGGATTGGGCCATTCTGGGTATCAACACGTATCAACCGCAATAATGAAACCACAATTTATTGTTTCCCCATGTTCTCCGGTAATCAAACATGGTTCGTGGATGGTGGACTGATCCTCCAAGTATCAACGGTATATCCCCATTCTATCCCTATCCCGGCAGAGTCTTGCCTGGTTAGCAAATTATTAACTATTATATAGTATAAACTATTTTGCCATATCTGTGTATATATATATATATATATGTGTGTGTGTGTGTCTGTATCTATATATATATATATATCTGGGTAAATTATAACGACCTCACTGCGACCTCACTGGAATCATGGTTAGTAAGGGGAATCATCCCCAAATGGCCTTAGTTCAGGTTAGTGAAATATTATAATTTACCCAGATATATATATATATATACATATATATATATATATCAACCAACGATAAATGGGTAAGTGTTGCGTGATCCGACCGAGGACGTGGATCGCGCCCCTGTGGCCTCACCCGCACGGCAGTCGCCCTTCATGGGTGGCAAGGCCCGGGGTATCCGCATCCACCGGCCCTAGGAAAACCATAGGAAAACCATAGGAAAACCATAGGAAAACCATAGGAATATGGAGGTTTTGCTATTGAACATGACCATAGAAATAGTTGATTTACCCACTAAAAATGGAGATGTTCAAGAGTTTTGTCTATGTTTATCAGAGGCTAATTGGGATTATTACCATGAAAACTCTGCCATGAAAATGCTCAATATTGAGTTATTACCATTGAGTTTTCATAGCTTTGGTAAACTGAGCCATGAAAATTAACCAGTTAATTGGGACTAGATATGTACTGTACTCATCAGTATAATGGGTATTTTTCACGGCTCACATAGCATTGAAATGCATTGAACACACAATCTGTCCGTTGGCTCGCGCCACTCAACGCCACTCAACGCCTCTCAAGAATTCCTGAGTTGCATTGAGAGGCATTGAGTTGCATCGAACAATTTCCACCCGCAACGCACCTTCGCTGTCACATAGCTATCGAAAATCACCATTTTTAACAGGTACATCATCATAATCATCTATACATGGACCATTTTCCATAGCTATAGGCTATATGTTAAAAAG